TATCAGTTTTAAACGAATAACTATCATAACTGTGCCGGCCACCAAACATGCAAAGGAAATGTTTATGTTTCCTGAACAGAAAACAGTCATGTTTCCCCCAAGCATTCCCTGTATTCCTCTCTCCTACAGTTTACTTGCTGAGCTTAGTCACAAGTGGTGGCCAAATTACAGACTCTAAAGGAATATGTTATGATGATTTGTACATTTTGAGTATTGTTGTGTGGAGCACTGGCCTATAAGTGCCATTATGGTAAATAAGGTCTTGCCATATTTAATAGATATCTGCAGCATGTAGGCACAGAGGAGGATATTTACTAAATCTGATGCACTCAAAATCTGATACAGCTGTGCATGGTAGCCAATCAGCTTGTTCAGTTGAGCTTTGACAATAAATCCTAAAAGCTGATTGGTTTCTAAACAGGGCTGCACCAGATTTTGCACTTTCTAGTTTTAGTAAATCTCCCCTCTCAGAGTGTTTTAAAGTGTATTTGCACTTTTTCAGCCAAACTGGAATACCTAATTTATAATTGCAACAGTTTCTCATTCACATAGCAAAACTTAAAAATAAATAAAGATGCTTACATTTTTACTTGCTTTTTTCTGAAAGTTCAAAAACTTAAGTTTTCCCCTGCTATGTAATGTTAAGGAGGGGACTGAGGGGTTAACATATACAAAAATTGACCCATATACAGTATGTTGTCCTGCAAGATCTCATCATTGGTTGATTTGAACATTGTCTGTTGTTACAAAGGGTAAAATGTATCAAAACTTAGATTCTGCATTGTACTGCAATGAAGGAAAACTCATCCTATCCCTCTTTGCTGCTCCACTTTCATGTTGAAATTATTCAGAGTTGCTTGCAGTTTGCCCAAAAAGCCCACTGCAAGTAAACACCTAGAATGGAAAAAATTATTTTTTACTTATTTTTAGATGGAAGGAAACACATACCAAATATATAGCGCTGATTTCCTAAAGTTGACTATAAAAGTGTATCTACACTTAAAGGAACGAAGACCACTGATACACCTTACTTGCTATATGGCAATGACAGCATGAAACAATACAAGTGAATTATAAATTGTCTTGGTCTGAAGGCCTCACTCACAGGGAGGCATAGACTTCTGCATTTGCAGAGATTTTTGTTTATGCAACCAGAGTAGAATACAGCCACACCTGAAAGCCTGTTAAAAAAATACAATGACATTTCAACAGACTAAGCGGCTATAGGGATCTTTCCCCACATTTGTGTATGTACTTGCATACAGGTATGGTTGAGAGGACCTTAATTGCAATCTATCTGCATGTAGAGCTGCTCTTCCGTATGTGTATGCAACTACACGCTCAGATGTGGGGGAAAGATCCGTACAGCCACTGCACCTGTCAAACTCACATTGATTTTTTTCATTGATACAGCCTTCTGAGCGTGGCTGTATGCTACTCTGGATGCAAAATAAACACTATATATATATATATATATATATATATATATACATATATATACTGTACAACTTGAAACATACAGTTGCAAGAAAAAGTATGTGAACCCCTTGGGATTACGTGGAGTTTTGCATGAATTGGGCATTAAAATGTGCTCTGAACGTCATGTAAGTCACAACAATAGAAGAACACAGTCTGCTGAACATAATACTCTACACAAACATTAGATGTTGCCATGGTTTAATTGCACATAACATGTAAACATTCACAGTGCAGGGAGGAAAAAGTATGTGAACCTTTTGACTTAATAACTGGTTTGACCCTCCTTTGGCAGCAATAACCTCAACCAAACGTTTCCTGTAGTTGCAGATCAGACCTGCACAACGATCTGGAGTCATTTTGGACCACTCCTCTTCACAAAAACTGTTTCAGTGTAGCAATATTCTTGGGATGTCTGGTGTGAATCGCTCTCTTAAGGTCATGCCACAGCATTTCAATGGGGTTGAGGTCAGGACTCTGACTGGGCCACTTCAGAAGGTGTATTCTGTGCTGTTGCAGCCATTGTTTTGTTGAATTACTTGTATGCTTTGGGTCATTGTCCTGTTGCATCACCCATCCTCTGCGGAGCCTTTTTTTCTCCACACATAGTGTTGTGTGTTCTTCCCAAACAACTCAATCTTGGTTTCATCTGTCCACAGTATATTTTGTCAGTAGTGCTGTGGAACATCCAGGTGCTCTTTTGCAAACTTCAAACGTGCTGCAATATTTCTTTTTGGACAGCAATGGCTTCCTCCGTGGTGTCCTCCCATGTACTCCATTCTTGTTTAATGTTTTCCTTATTGTAGATGTGTCAACAAAAATGTTAGAATGTGCCAGAGATTTCTGTAGGTCTTTAGCTGACACTCTGGGATTCTTCTTTACCTCATGCAGCATTCTGCGCTGTGCTCTTGCAGTCATTTTTTACAGGATGACCACGCCTAGGGAGAGTAGCAACAGTGCTAAACTTTCTCCATTTTTATACAGTCTGTCTTACCATGGACACATGAACATCAAGGCTTTTGGAGATACTTTTGTAACCCTTTCCAGCTTCATCCAAGTCAACAATTCTTGATCGTAGGTCTTCTGAGAGCTCTTTTCTGTGAGGCATGGTTCACATGAGACAGTGCTTCTTGAAACCAGTAAACCCAAAACAGGTGTGTGTTTTTTAGGGGCAGGACAGCTGTCAGCAACACATTCAATATCATCACACTGATTGGAGTCAAGGTTGGCTCACTCCTGGCTCCAATTAGCTCTGGGAGAAGTCATTAAGCTAGGGCCTCACATACTTTTTCCTCCCTGCACTGTGAATGTTTACATGTTATGTGCAATTAAACCATGGCAACATCTAATGTTTGTGTAGTATTATGTTCAGCAGACTGTGTTCTTCTATTATTGTGACTTAGATGACGTTCAGAGATAAGCACATTGTATGCCCAATTCATGCAAAACTCCACGTAATCCCAAGGGGTTCACATACTTTTTCTTGCAACTGTATATGCTCAGTGGAATCCTGTCTTAAACAGAATTTTAAAGCTTGTTAATAAAAGCCTACTGTATGTGTGGCTAAATTTGTATTCTTTATCTATAAAGAGAACAGAAATTTATATCCAGTAAAAAAACAAATACTAAAAATACAAGTGTTTATATATATTGTAGCATATACAACTTAGACATTTCAATTTCACAATGTTTGTGTTATGCATTGTTTTTTTTTTAAATTTAAACATATGCTATCTTTTTAACTGATATAGATTAAAGAACATCTTGCCAAGGGACAAAGAACGCTGGCAGGAGAAGGAATGTCTCAGGTGACCAAAACACTGCTCGATTTAACTCAGAGGAAGCATTTTTATGCAGGAGATCTACTGATCTCAGTGGAAATCCTCAGAAATGTCACAGACACTTTCAAAAGAGCAAGTTATATCCCCGCATCTGATGGAGTGCAGGTAAAAAAAAAAACAATCATGTTAGACTAATCTATCTAATCTCTATCTATCTATATCTATCTATCTATCTATCTATCTATTCATCTCTTTTTCTATATGTATTCAAAGTCATTGGTAGTCAAAGATAATAAAGTGTAATATGAAAGCATTTTCAGAAAACATAATATAATAGTGTTAAGAATTGTGCTACATTAAAAATATAAAATATAAATATAGCTGCTAGCACGATCGGTGCACATGTACAAAGGGCTGCACTTATTGATTGTTAAAAAAAGTGTTGCAAAAAAATCAAGAACAAAATGAATAATAATAACAATATGAAACTCTGTAAGCATTAATAAAGAACCATAGTACAATGATGTGCTCAAAGTCCACAGATGTCCAAAATATAACCAGTGTTCAAAATAAGTGTTGTTTTGTACTACAGAGGAGTGACACAAATCCCTACTGGATCTCCCAAAGATGTGCTTTCACCTAACCAATTGACCCTTACTACAAAGGTCGGAACTCATTTGATGGTCAAGGTTCAAAGCAGCAGATCTCTAAGCAATTGAGGTGCATGTTTTTAACCATATATGTGAGTGCATATGCATATATTTCTCTTTAATAAAAAATAGTTTTATCAGTGTGCACTAAAGATTGTCTTTTGTTTTATTGATCTTGAGATCCAGAGCTTATTAGAGCCATGGAGCGGTGAGAGAAGCTATTGGGGATTGACATCCTGACCAGGTAGTCCTTATTGATTGAATTCATCTGGTTGAGCTGTGAACCTTGTCCTTCATATGAGTTTTGACCTTTGTAGTGAGGGTCAATTGGTCAGGTGATGGCACATCTTTGGGGGATCCAGTAAAGGTATTGTGTCACTCATCTGTAACATTGATTTTGAACACTGATTTCTTTTTTTTTTTTTGTGGACTTCTTTGTGCAGCACGTAGTTGTAATTATTTTCAGAAAAAGCATGCCATGGCTCACTGTAGTAAAATACTTTTGGTCCTCGTGTACAATGGGTGTTTAGCCCCTGTGGGTCCAATCCGACACAGGTGTAGTGTTCAAATCCCTGGCAATAGCCTTTCAAAATATATGATGGGCTTAAATATGTGGTGGCTGGATGCTGCACTGAGTGGCACATTTAGGGCTGTATGAGTTCAGGAACGTATACTTGGAACAATCCTAGACATGAATACCACATAGTACAGCATCCAGTCACATCCAGCTGCCAGCGGGGCTTGATGCTGCACCTGTGCCTTTTGAGAACATGAAAATGAAAGATGATGATGCTATAGCAATTTTTATTATTTTTACTTATAATAATACTTTTTAGAGATAGATAAATTGATTTATTTCAGTATTACCGGTACAAAGAAATTAAACAAAGCAAACTAAAAATAGACTTCCATTCTACTTTGATCACTCAAAAAAACATAATTAAAATATATATATATATATATATATATATATATATATATATATATATATACACTAACTTGCCAAAAGTATTGAGACAGCCCTCCAAATCATTGGATTCAGGTGTTTTAAACACCTCCACAGCCACAGGTGTATATAATTAAGCACCTAGGCATGCAGACTGCTTCCACAAATAGTTTTGAAAGAGTGGGTCGCTCTCAGGATCCCAGTGAATTTAAGCGTGGTACAGTGATAGGTTGACACCTTTTCCATCCGTGAAATTTCCTTGCTACTAAATAGTCCACGATCAATAAGTGGTGTTATAACAAAGTGGAAGCAACTGGGAACAACAGCAACTCAGCCATGAAGTGGTAGGCCACATAAAATGGCAGAATGGGGTCAGCGCATGCTGAAGCTCACAGTGCACAGAAGTCGCCAACTGCCTGCAGGGTCAATAGCCAAACTTTATGTGGCCTACAGATTAGCACAACAACAGTACATAGAGAGCTTCATGGAATGGGTTTCCATGGCCGAGCAACTGCATCCAACATCACCAAGTGCAATGCAAAGCGATGAATACAGTGGTGTAAAGCACGCCGCCACTGGACTCTAGAGCAGTGGAGACATGTTCTCTGGAGTGACAAATCATGCTTCTCTGTCTGGCAATCATATAGATGTGTCTGGGTCTGGTGGTTTCCAGGAGCACAGTACTTGCCTGACTGCATTTTGCCAAGTGTAAAGTTTGATGGAGGGGGGATTATGGTGTGGTGTTGTTTTTTTTCAGGGGTTGGGCTTGGCCCTTTAGTTCCAGTGAAAGGAAGTCTTAAGGCATCAGTATACCAGGACATTTTGGACAATTTCATGCTCCAAGGTTTGTGGGAAGAGTTTGGGGATGGCCCTTTCCTGCTTCAACATGACTACACACCAGTGCAGAAAGTAAGGTCCATAAAGACATGGATGAGGGAGTTTGGGGTGGAGGAACTTTACTGGCCTGCACAGAGTTCTAACCTCAACCCAATAGAACACCTTTGGGATGAATTAGAGCGGATACTGTGAGCCAGGCCTTCTCGGCCGACATCAGTCTCTGACCTCACAAATGCGTTTCTGGAAGAATGGTCAAACATTCCCATAGACACACTCCTAAACCTTGTGAACAGCCTTCCCAGAAGAGTTGAAGCTGTTATAGCTGCAAACGGTGGTCCAGCTTAATATTGAACCCTACAGACTAAGACTGGGATCCCATTAAAGTTCATGTGTGTGCAAAGGAAGATGTACCAATACTTTTTGGCAATATAGTTTGTGTGTGTATATATATATATATATATAAACACGAATATAAAGTTTACTTTAATGCTATCAAGCATAGTATCTAATCCTGATCTGCGTGCACTTGTTTGAATGTTATGCAATGTTGGCTCTCTATTAACAGATGCTGTGAGACCTTTAAGAGCATCTTAGTCAGTTAGCAACAGATGCTTCTTGGTTCTTTGAAATTTTTAGTATCTTGCAAGTAACAGAAATAGGAATGGAGATATCAAGGGACCTGTAAACTATAAGCGTGAAGAAGCTAAAATCTGAACATTGTCCCTTTGAAAGGAATATAGGAAAACATTCCCAGGGGCTTGAGGATTGAAAACAAACTTTCACGTAATGCAGGTGTGTAGGATCATGTGGCCTACATGTGCTAAACCATTGTTAAGCCATTAAAAAAGTAATACAATGAATTGCCTTTCCATGTCAGTACACTTCAGGTTACATTATATTAGCTGCTAAATGATGCATTTAGCCTTCATATGGTTAGAGATTCAGTATGGGCAAATGTCAACTTTCCCTCATCCTATACATTCTGGCTGTTCTCCCAATTAGGCCCAAAAAGTATTCAGTGATTTATTGTGTGACATCTGAACAGTGCTTACTTGTTCAAAACTAATTGTGCCAAAATAAATAAAGAAAATATGTGCAACATATTTTCAAATATGCTAATTAGATCATGGAACTTACTGTATTGATTATGCAGTTAAATATTCTAAGCCCTTATAAATATGCTTGATGCAAACATAGTTTTGAAATTCTAATAGCGATACAGTATTGTATTCCAGTTCTTCCTTTTTTGTATGAGCTATGGGGAAATATATAAAGCGGGTTATGAGAAGATCCATAGAACACTAGTTTTCTTGGTGCAGCACTGGCATAGATGCCAACTTTCCCAGATCTCCTGGATGTAGATGCTCTGTCCCAATGATGCTGTGTCCCAGGCTGTAACCTGAGGTCACAGCATCTACCTTGACTTATTGACCATGAAAAGTAACTCCAAAAAGTGTATTACTGAGTGAATTGCTGCCACGAGTGAGACATTCTTCAATAATTATGGGCAGGACCACCCAGAAAATGAGTGCATTCTGCCCATAAGGAGGGTGTGATATGAGTAGGTTGTGGGCAGGAGTGACCTTGCCCTGGGGACTGAGATGTTGGCAAGTATGCACTGCTTTTCATAACAAAGTAGATGCTAACACTTTCAGAAGGTTGCCTCATCTTTTTATTTCTTTTGTTAAAAAGTGTATGTTTAGCCACAACCTTTTTTTTTTTAGTAACTTAGAATAGAGTATAGGAGGGTTAGAACCTCTGTTAGGTTTTCACTGAAAGGATCCCCCATAATTTTCAAAACAAAAACACTTTTAGGTTGAAGATAGGCTTTGGTGGCTTTTAAATGTTCTACTTTTTATTTAAATAACAACTCTTAGCTAAAAGGGCAGTATGATTTTTATTATTCATCATTATATACATAAACAGTGCATCGGCATCTCTGATAGATATGTACCTTTGCATAATACAGTTTATATTCTAGATCTGTTTGCATAACACATAACTTTTTACTTCTAGAACTTCTTCCAAATAGTAAGTAACCTCCTGGATGAAGAAAACAAAGAAAAGTGGGAAGATGCACAACAGGTAAGATACATCTTACTGTTGAAGACTTGACCTTTATTCAGTGGTATGGTACCATTAAGTTAAGCTATATATGACAATGAATAAACAGTAAGCAATAATAATGTATGCTGTTAAAAAAATGATATAAAATAGGACTGTTCTGAATGCATGCACCATTTAACTTGACTCAGCATTGTTCTTATACTCATAACTGTTAATGTTATCTGGTTTAACCAAAAATTATGTCATTCATTTATTCAAAATTCCGAAGGTACACAACCTAGCATGTCATCTCTATTTGATCATTTTTCTGTCCAGATATCTACATTCAGCTAATTAACATAGTTTTTAGGTGATCTTTTTTTGCAGTTGACTCCAGTGTATTAGGATTTATTACAACATGACATTTTGAAGACCTAAGATTTAATGCTGGTTAGTTGAACAAAGTCCCTGCTGTGACTAGGTGGTGAGAAAACAAGCAAAACCAAAAGTATGCCACCTACTACAGACATCCAAAACAAATTGGCACCCTTTGAGCATGGTTCAAAATTAAATGTGTGACTCCAACTGGAACCCTAGGAGACAGAGAAGAGAAGCAGAATATATTGTTTTGCTTGAGGATGTTTACCATACAGTACATGTATTTTGAACTGGGGGCTTTACTTAACAGCACAATACTTTGGCAACTGATTGAATATCAGCTTGTCTCTTCAATGCAGTTAGCTTAATGGAAGCTGACTCATGCTTCAGATTCAAGGATTTACTCCGTATCATTGCACTTTGATTCAGTATAGCAAACTAAATTATGCTTACCATAAAATACATTACGTGGCTATTTTATTATGTACACCTACCCAGTAGAAGAATTTTCCTTTTTTCGACCATGGGCTCTTTATGTTTTGCTTCCATGTCTACGTGATACTTTTCTTTAGGTGCTGCAGCTTGGAAGATGGAAATACAAGGCTTTTCCACCAATCCCTAAATACTAGGATATCGTATAAATACACACAGGTCAATACTGTGATCATCAAACTCTTACTACTAATAATGTGGACTTACAGTTCTGTGATAAAGTACTGCTGTGGAGACCAAGGGATAAATATGGTTAGCAACAATGTTCAAGAACAGTGTGGAACCCAAATACTTAAGTGGCATCACTAACCTATAACCTGCATGAACACGTATGTTTGAAGCTCAAGCTTTATGGATTTATGGCATTTTTTCAAAACTCCAGTGGAATCCAGTTGTCAACCACATGTCATCAAGTCTTACATGGAATTGTGCTCTAAAAAATCTGTATGGATGAAATCATTGCATATGGAAATATGGATTTATGGTGTTTTTTCCAAAGCCTGAGCCTAGCAGGACACAGAGGTTACCAGATTCCTTCAGCACTTCCCTTTTTAATGTGCATTCAAAAGATACAACTTTCTTGTAGACCTTTAAAAGTAATTTGTAAAAATGTAATTGGGAAGGTACTGGGAGATGTCTGCACACAAATCTGGAAATCCTTCAACCTTACAGATGCTCACAAGGAAATGTGTATTGTGTATATATATATATATATATATATATATATATATATATATATAATGTTATAATGTAGTGCCACCAGTTCCGTACAAATCCTTGACACTGCTGAATGTGGAAACGTCAATTGGCACCCTTGGAACCAATGGTTAAAGAAATTCAGATAACACCTATATTCGCCTGCTGAAAGTCTTTCTATATGCACAAATAGCACGAGACACTTAAGCATCTAGTCTGACAGAATAATCTATTAACATACGTAGACAGATGCCTTTAATAAACTAGTTACTGTATTACAGAACCGTTGATATACTAATTTGAGTAAATTAAAATGAAGATTTAGCTCAGTATATGTGAAACAAAATTAATGCTTGAACACATGATAGAAATTTAAATTAGCCGTAACACCAAGACATGATTGACAGCTTCTGAAAGGTTCTTTAAACACCAGTGAGTATTTTTAAAGGTAAACTGGAAGTGAAGAAATATGAAATCTGCCATTGCTTACTTATTTTTTAATGTGCAAGGACCACTTCACTAGCAAATCATTGACCTGTAACAAGCAGACAGAGTAATTAAAACTTGCAGGCTTCAAAATGCCCTTTCTTGCTTTGGCTGTGAAGCAACAAGTAGAATGACAGTTTAGAAGTCTGCACCTTTTAAAATCAAGTCAGCAGTGAAATTCATTGCTTTTAGCCTGAAAGGCTCACTTTAAATAGAATTCTGCTTCCTGACTTAATATACCTTGATTGTGTATTTTCTAAAGCATATACATTATATTTATGAGGACAGAGGATTACCTCCAGGGGACATGTACACAGTATTATACTGAAAAAAAAAATATAATGTAAAATTACTATCACCAATGACCTAAAACAATGGAGTCAAAGATATATACTGACACTCACTTAAATAATGTTGCAAACAAAATAAGGAATGGCACTATAAACCTGTGCACATCATAGAACCTGTTCTCTGGTGTGCCCTGTGACATAAATTTGATCCAGAGAAGTGGCATCTAGTGCAAGGCAGTCAAATTACTTTACAAAAAGATTAATAAACTTTTGATTTCCTACTATGCCACCTCCA